CCTTCTCTAATGAACCACTCGGCATTTACTGGCTTTGCTTGTAAATGGTGGGTGGTCGGGTTCGTTCAGGGGTAAAACTAACCCCCATACATCTTTGGTGGCAGTTCTGGGGTGTCCGAGTGGTGAGGAGGTGGAGCTTGAGACTTGGGGGGATGTTGGGTTGAAGGACAAGCCCTGAGGGGTCTTTCCCCAGGAACGGTGGGTGGTATTCTTCTCCGGTTGGGTGTTCTAGGGGCCCAGCACTCACAAAGGGCCATTGCCATCGCCCCCCCTGTCCTTTTATGGGAGGGCTCTGACACCCAATAAATAGGGCCACGATTCCCGTTGCAGGGACACCATGTGGGCCCAGGCTGGGAAACGCCCAAAGGCGTGCATGCAGTGTTGGGGTCTCATTAAATGCCCCCTTTCATCACAGCACCTGCCTCGCCACCGACTCTGTTGGAGGCTAGCTGCGTTGGAGGCGCTGGCTCCGGCCACCCCCCCCCCATTGTGTGACATGGCCATAACATGGGTGGAACCCAATGGTAGGAGTTGAGTGGGGTACATGGCAGAGGCCCCAGGGTTCACGGGCTGCCTTCCTTGTTAAGTGGGACCCGTTTCGTGCCCCTTCAGGTAGCAGGAAAAGCAGCTCACATAGCAACCTCTAGGCAGCAAGACCGTGAGGTCACATCGCCTCCGGGGAGCAGGACCCGGAGCGCCCCCACCCCAGGGCACCAGGACTGGGTTATTCCGGGATTTCACAGTGCTGCGAACTTTGCAGAACAAAATCTGCGGCAGCTGCCTGCATGCTGAACGGAGGTGGCGCAATCTGTCCGATGAATCGGACTAATTACACAGAAGCCACACGGGTTTTGCTTCCTCCAGGAAAACTGCTTTCTCTCTTTAATATTCAGTATCCTCTTGTCACAGCCTGTAAGCCTCGCTCAAATTAGGGTGCAGCTGCAACCCAAACCCAAAATAAAATGCCCAAGCACACGACAGGGACACACGCGGCTCCAGATCCACCGGCCCTGCCTGCCTCCTCTCCACAGCCCGGCTGCTAGCAGGCGAAGAAGTCAGGGAAGATGCTTTCCATCTCGTCTTTCAGGGCCAGGCCTGCACAGTCCACATCTAGGCTCCACGGCTCCAGAGGGCTGTCCTGGAGCTCCTGGGAGCCAGACTCAGGGTCCCCTAGGAAGCCTGGCTCTCCCTGATCCAGTAGACTGCTCTCAGCTGGAGCCCATGCAGGGCCACTGCCTCCTCGGCCCTCCAGAGACCCTGGAAGCAAACAGGACACGTCAGCAGGGCAGGTTGGTGCTCTGGGGGCCTGAGGCAGACAGGTGGGGTCAGAGGAGCAGAGCTCCCACCTCAGCCCATCTGCCCTGCCCTGTCCGTGCTGCGCAGAGGCTGTGATGAAGTAGGTGAGCTCATACCTGGCGGCCCCAGACCCAGGACACCTGTTGGACCAGAACCAGGAAGGGGATCCCCAACACTAAATCCTACATGGAACGGACGCACGCCGTATCACAGGGCCATACACCTCTGCCGGCCAGCATGGGCTAGACCAGGGGCCTCACTGACACGGGGTCGAGAAGAATTATTCAGGGCTCCACACACCGCCAGCTCTCACGCAGGGTCGTCCACATCACGTTCACTCACACTCTCACCTATCACCTATGACACTCAATGCTAGACGCTACCCAATAGCTAAGCACCCACGGAGGAGAAAACGGGGGCTCACAGACCCTGGGACCCCGCGTCACACACGCTGGGCCTGAGTCCCAATTCCCCAGTTCATGTCAGGTGCTGATGCAGGGGGACCAGCCCCGGACCCAGGGCCCCACTCACCCGGCCACCAGCTGGGACCGGCAGTCAGCAGGAAGGACGTCCCATCCTCCATATCAGACCCCAACACAGACCTGAGGAAGGGCAAGAAGCCCTTCCTTAGTGGCCACAAGTGGACCCAGGCCTTGAAGCTCAAGGAAACATTTGGGTCCCAAGTCCTGCAAAGGCAGCTTGAAATGCAAAGATCTAGACGCCACTCCTGACAGGCTCCACCCTGCCCAGTGGGGAGAAGTGCAGAAGCCACCGCCGCTGAGGACACCGGTCAGCGGCTCTCCCAGGTCCCGATCCGTCCTGCAGAGCATCTCTGCCGGTTTCTCTCCAGCCGCAGTCTCGCTCATCTTGTCCCCTCCCTCCCCCTCCCCTCCCCCTCCCACACCCCAGCTGGTATGTGCTCAGGAAACACAAACTCATTTTACTATCAGCCAAAACAAATGACAATTAGGAAGACAAAAGTGTTTCCAGAAACACACATTAGAAAGCCACACGGCAAGGCTGGCTGGTCCCGTCCTGGGCTGTGGCCTTGGCCTCCCTCCCACAGGCACAGAGGAAGCAGGGACAGAAGCTTCCAGATGCCAAGAAAGGGGGCCTAGGCAGGACTGGAAGGTGGGGCAGGCTCACACACACATGCTCGCTCTCGCACACACAGGCGTGCACACCACCTGGGCACTCACCTGGCCTCCTGCACAGGCATGGGGGCCTCCTCAGCTGGCTCCCCCAGAGGTACAGCCCCCATGGCCAGGGGCCCAGCCTGGCCCAGCCAGCCAGTGGCCTCCCCACTCATCATAGGCAAGGTCTGCTGCTGCGAGAACGGAGGCCAGGACAGGGGTGGCCTCACAGCCTTAGGAAGACTCGGGCCTGGGGGCCACGGCACCAAGCTGGAAGGTTCTGGGAGAGAAGTCAGATGCGGGTCAAACTTCCCTGCCCGGCCCCACAGGCTTCCCCCGAGGACCTCGCAACTCAAGGGTTCGGTCCACTAACGCTGATGGAGTACCTACCCTGCTGCCTGCACCCTGCAGCAGGGAGACGCAAGAGGAAGCTCAAAAGCAGGTGGCAGAAGGGTAAACGGGGAGAAGATGAACACCCAGAGATGGGGTGCCCAACACCTGGGGGCTGAGGGCTTCCTAGAGTGGGTGCTGGCTTGGCCAGCTGCAAGGGGCTTGGATCTGGGGACCCTCTCAGTGCCACCTCCCGGACCTCGAGCTCTACCCTCAGACCTGCTCCCTCCCCATGTGCCTGGCTGATGGGTTTCTGGAGTGCCCTGATGACCCCAGCTCTGCCACCAGCCCTACCAACCGCATGACTGTTCCCAGCCACAGCCTCACTCACGGGGAGCCAAAAGGCACAGCCCTGCCTCTCATGGCACCTAGCGACTTCCAGACACTGGCACAGTGGGGGCCGAGGGGAACTCGGTCATCAGAGATACCCTGCAGGGCCACCCACAGAGGGACCAGAGCTCAGCTGTGGGTGGCATTAGGGACAAAGGCCCCAGGTGGCAGTGGGAACAGCTGGGAGGCCTCGGGCCCCTGGCTCACCCCGATTACAGTTCCTGCCATGGGCAGGCAGCATAGGCGGAGGAGCAGATGGGGTACCCTGGGGAAAACAGATCTCTGGCCGCATCCAAAACACACCAGCCACAGGCGGGTGGAGGAAGCAGGGCCGCAAAGCTGGACGAAGCAGCCAGGATGGGGCCGAGTCACTCTGCATCCCCACAGTTCCCACAGACCCAGAGACCCAGGACAGGACCAAGTCCCTCTACGTCCCCACACTTCCCGCAGGCCCACGGACCCAGGGAGTGACGAGGATGGGGCCAAGTCCCTCTATATCCCCACACTTCCTGCAGACCCAGGTACCCAGGGAGTGACCAGGATGGGGCCAAGTCACTCTACATCCCCATGCTTCCCAGCAAACCCAGGGACCCAGGGAGGAGGTGGTCAAGCTCTCCCTGCCCTGGAGCACAGGGAGATCTCAGGAGGAGACAGGACGGAGGGAACAGCCCCAGGGTGGCCTCTGGCCCGGATTCTCCCTCCCGAGAGCATACAACCTCCTTTGCACAAAAAGAAGGCACAGCCCGGGGGCCTTGAATCCAGCTCAGCCCTCAATATGTGGGTTTCTCACCAACACAAAAGCCTGGGAAAACTTCAAATTCCTGTTTGCAAACAGCCCTCGCTGTTCTTAGGACTAAAACACAGCCTGGCCGGGCTCCCCAGGACAAGGGCACCCCACACACACACCCAGGACTCACCTGAGAAAGGGGGCGGCCCGCCCCGCACCTGACACAGCCCCGACAGCACCTCACACTTGTCTGTGCCCAGGGACGTGCAGCTCGGAGGGTCCCAATGCCTGGAGGACGCAAGGACGTGGGGCAGGGGCTCTGGGCCGGCCGATGCCGGATCCCGGGACCAAGGACTTTCCAGAAACGCCTTCACATCTGGAGTTCTAAAAGGAGCAATGTGACGAGGATCCTGGGTCTACCCCCAGCCCCCTGGAGAGCTGCCCCCACCTACCCACCTCAGGAGCAGAGGGCTGGACCCGTCCCCAGGACACCCCAGGCACCACCTACCACCAAGCCAGCCTCTGCCCGGGGGCCCTGGGCCAGCCAAGCTCCACAGCCGCCTGCCCAATTTCCCTCTGCCCAACTCCCCTGGTTCTAGATTCTTCCACAGCTAATTAGCCACCAGCCCCATGCCCCAGCCCACTGTGGGGTAAAATGGGTACATTTAAACAAACGATGCAGACAGTCCTTTAACCTGGGGAGCTGCCATTCTGAAAAGAACCAAATTATCTTGACTTCAGAAAACTCCATTCCTGAAGCTGCCCGTGGGGTGAAGGACGACACCTCACTGACCACCTGCAAATCCCCCACACACAGGCGCAAAAGAGACTCCTCCCGGGCACCTCCCACCTCCACACCAGCCCAGGCCCTCGATTCTGCTGACGGTGCTCCCCTTCCTGGAGCTCGCCTGTGTTGGTCACCTCACGCCTGGCCACCTGAGTCGGCAGGGCCCTGGGCAGGTCACCACCTGCGGAGGCCAAGCCGGGCCTCCAGGCCACACTCTCCCAAGGACATGCTCTGGGTCTGCCGCTTCCAGGGTTACCCGGCCCTGCAGAGCAGCCCCAGGAGACACTAACCGAGTCCCGCCAGACACTCCCGTCCCAGAGTCTGGCACGCCTGCTGGAATCTGACTCGACAGCGTCAACTGTAAGACGTCCTCCTGCAACGAGTGCCACATTTCTTTGGAAGAAGCAAGCATCTGAAATTTAAATAAACAAGTAAAACAAAGACAGAGAGTCAACTGGGAAACCCAAGAAACCGTGGCCAGACTGCTACCCCGGGGCCTGGAGGATCGCTGTGAGCTCGGTCCCTGCTTGGGACTTGGGGGCGAGGGTACAGGCTGACGAGGAGACTGAGGTTCTACCCCAAAAAGACCCCACCATTCCTGAATCGGGCTGTGCATACCTAGGGCCTCACTGCACATGCTGGGACCCCTGACCTCACAGATGACAACACTGTTTCATTCCCCAAGCAGGTTCTCAACCCCAGCACTCACGGGGTCAGCCAGAGTCCCCAGGGCCTTGGAGAGCGGACAGGAGCCTCTCTTGGGGACGTGCAGAGAAATGATCTAGGGGGTGCTCAGCCAGGGAGGATCAGGGGAGCCTGACTCTCCCCCACATTGACACAGAGCATCTGAGTAACCCATCAATGAACAGGACTCAGTGGCACATGAGGACTGGAAGAGAAGACTTGCTCCTTTCCAGGGAGAGAATAACAACAGGTAGGACTTGAACGAATCAGGAAATGCCCTGCCGAAAACGTGGCCTGCTCTAGTGGTGGAGGCCGAGGGGGCTGAGGGAGACGGGCATGACAGGGGACGTGCTGCCTGCAAGGTGGTGAGATGTCCCATCACCGTGATGCCAGAGGACTGATAGCGACTACCCTGACAACTCACAGCATGCTGCCCCTGGCTGGGCCCCAGGGCGCTGGCAAGCCGCAGAAACTGCACAGACATCTCCAGGACTGAGGCCATGTCCTCTCGCCGGCCATCAAACTGGGGCAGCAGGGCCCGCAGACGCTCACAGCTCAACGAGATCCGTTTCCTGGTTCCGGTCAAGAAACAAACATCTCTGGAAGCATCTCTGGGTCCTCCCGGCCTCCCCCAGAAGGGACAGTAACCGCTAGAACCTACCAGAAAGACCCTGGGGGCTTGCCAGGTAGACGAGGTTACAAGACAACTGAGAGCTGCCCCCTGGGCAGAGTGGGCTAGCTGTCCCCGTGGTCTGAAGCCCCGAGATCCACATCAGAGCACAGCCTGGGCCTGACCCCTGGGCCCTGGTGACAGGCTGTCCAGCCCAGGCCCAAACCATGGCTGCTTTGCGGTGTGGAGAGGACACGGAGGGTCAGAGGCAGTCAGCAGTGCAGAGGGTCACAGGTGCACAGCCTCACGAGCCCAAGGCTTTAGGCAAAGAGGGGCTGCGGGATGTCCCCCATCGTGCCTTTTCTGGTTTACTTGCAGGTGTGCAGTCTGTCCTTCCACGGGGCACAGGCCACGAGCCCCTCCCGGCTGCCTGACACCTGGTGGCAGCCACAAACCTAATCTCACCCGCTCCACCCCTTTACAAAGCGCCCCGACCTCTGGGAGGCACCGCCACTCACCTGCGCTCCCTCTCGCTGATCACGTTCCGCCGAAGGCAGGAGCTGGGACCCTCGGCCACCGTAGGGGCCTTGGGCTGGCCCGAGCCCTGGGCCGAGTCCTCGCAGCAGGAGAGGGCACCAGACAGGGAGGAGCCGCTGCCGAGAGAGCCAAGAACACCAGGTCCTGAGAACCCCAGACAAGGCCACCGGGAGTCCCAGATACCAGAATGGGGGTCTTTGGGATGCGCGTGGAGGCCAAGACCTGGGTCACGTAGGGACACGACCCGGCCCTCTCTGCACCCCTTCCCCTCCCCCAGGGTCCAGCGCTCTGCCCCAGGAGGGCCAAGAGGAGTGGAGCCCGGCGACTTGCAGAAGCACCCCTGGGTACAGGGCTTGGGCCCCCACACCCTTGACCCCCAGCCCAATTCCTCACTTGCATCCCCTGGCAGTGGGGACTCCGGAGACCTCCGGGTCGGGCTCGGAGCACCGGGACGCCATGAACTCGCAGCTGCGGAACGACCCCACGCGCACGGCCCCTTCCGCAGGCAGCCCCGCCCCCTCACGTGTGCTCTGCCCACCTGCCACGTGCTTTCCACCCAGCCCGCCTCCACCCCCATTCGCAGTCCGCCCCCATAGCGCATGCGCTCTGGCCCTCCCCACGCATCCAGCCCGGGGCCCATGTGACCCGCGTTCCTCCAAAGGTGCTGGAAAGGGACTCGGAGGATCCACCCACTCCGTGCCCCCTCGGTACGCCAGGGAAAGGGCCCCAGCCCAGGTGGCCCTGCCTCCGCCCTTACCTTCCCAGGGGTCGTCTTGGTTCCTACTTATGCGGGGGTCTCGTTGCCCCTGGGCACTTTGGAGAGGCGGGCCCTGCCCTTAGGAGCCCAGCCCGTGGTGGGAGTGGGCGAGCTGGGCTGAGCCCTTTAGCCCAGGCCTGGGGGACCCAGGCACACAGGGACAGGGAAGGGTACCCACCTGTCCCCCAGTCGCCCACGCCTGCCTTTTCCCCCCAAATCTAGTGCCCTTGCGGGTACTGCGCCTCAGGATAGGGTCACCATCCACCCTGCTGGGTCGCCCAGAGCCAGGGGCATCCTGTCCCCACCCCCAGGCCACCATCGTCCGCGCTCTTCCTCCCGCTCAGCTCTGCCGGGCACCCTCAGAGCCGTCTGTCCCTTCCCCTGGCCCTGTCTGGGCACCGACCCCCATGGGGCCCCAGCTGGACCGCTCATACTGTCAGCAGGTTTCTGCGGGGTCGCGGGGTCCTCCCCATCCAAACCCAGAAAGTTCTGGCGCCAGGTCTCTTTTCACGTCCTCGCTGAATTCAAGAAGCCGCCCTGCGCTGGGCTTGAGTCCCCCGGTAAATACTTTTGGGGGGATGACAGAGGGAAGGGGGAGGTGGAGACTTCCTCTTTCACGGAGGTGGGGGTGGCCCTCAGGGAAGCAGAAGGGACAAGGGTGGGGCTTGAGGCTGGACTGTCGGGAGGACATCACTGGTTGGGCTGGTGCTGAGGTCCGTAGCTAGAGGAGGTGGGGTGGATGATTGGGCTGGTGCCGAGGTCCCTAGCTAGAGGAGGTGGGGTGGGTGACCGGGCTCATGCTGAGGTCTGTAGCTAGAGGAGGTGGGGTGGGTGGCTGGGCTCATGCTGAGGTCCGTAGCTAGAGGAGGTGGGGTGGGTGACCGGGCTCATGCTGAGGTCTGTAGCTAGATGAGGTGGGGTGGGTGGCTGGGCTCATGCTGAGGTCCGTAGCTAGAGGAGGTGGGGTGGGTGGCAGGGGCTCTTTTCCCGAGAGGGGTGGCAAGAAGGAGCCCGGGCAGGTGCCACCACATAGGGGGCGTCTGCCCGGGGTGCCCCAATCTCCTGTGGAGAAGGCCTCAGGCTGACATCCTGAACTTTGGGCCAAAGATGGGCGAAGAGTGTTTGGAGCAGGGGGAGGTTATGTAATATAAGGTGGTCTCTCCATCCCTGCTCAGCCCAGCCACCACTGCAGGTCAGACATGGAGGACCGGGTTGGAGGTAGGGCAAAAGCTCTCGGGGACCTGGGCCCTCTCCCAGCCCTGCCCCTGGCCAGGGAGGGCTGGACGGGCTGGCGATCTGGTGCTCCTCAGTGGCAGAGGGGGCCAAGTTTTTGTTTCCCTAAAGCCCTCGGAATGTCATCGAACCTGGGAGTCTCCTGCCGCTGACAACCCGTGTAATTACTGCTAATTAATCACAGATGCAGACGGTGCGGACTCTCAGTGGTGATTTTTCTGAGTTCCCCAGGCAGGAGGGCATTAGCAGAAAGCCACCATCTTGCCCTGGCTGCACCCGCCCAGGGGTGGTGGGACCCCAGCAGCAGCACCAGCCTCTCTAGGGACGTAAGGAAAAACCCCCAAGGTGCCCACAAGCTGTGTGGTGGGGGCACAGGCTGAACCTCTGCTGGGGGCTTAAGAGCATCCTAGACCTCCCTGAGTGTTCCCCACCCCCACCCCAAAAGCATCCGTGTTCAGTTGGCTGCCTCCTAGAGAAAGAGGGAAGGACACTCCCGAGAGACACTGGGGAGGCCAGGGACCACGAAGTACATGCCATGCGCCCTCCCAATGGACCTGGCCCTCCCCCTGCCCCTCGTGGGCACAGTCCTGGCTTAGTGAGGGGCCTGGTCCGCACTGCAAACCAACAAAGGTCTGGGTACAGAAATCGCAATTCTCCAGAGCTCTGTGTGAGGCCATCTGAGCCAGGGTGACTCATGTGCAACAGTGTGAGCACGTGCACGGGAAAGGGGGCCTGCAGGGGGACCCTCTGCTTCCCAGTCGTTGGGCTGCAGCATCTTAAGTTGGAACCCTCCTCACCCGTCTAAAGGTGCTGTGCGTGCTGTGTGGGTGAGAGCACAGGGTGGGATGCCCTCATCCCCCTCCCCCAGGCCAAGCCCATGTTGTGGTGCCCACCGACAGATGCCGCAACCTGTGGGGAGTGGGGGAGAGTCATCTTGAATGTGGCTTGTCTTGAGTGACCAGTGTTGACCAGGGCAGAGCAGCACAGCAGGGAGGTGGTGACGGTGCCTGGGCTCGGCGGCCGGATGCTGGCGGTCAGAGCAGCGGATGTGCCCTGCTGCCTGCAAAGGACCCAGAGCCCCCCAAGCCGCCGCCTACCACGGAGCCTTCCCAGGGATGTAGGGCCGGGTGGCGGCGCGCTTGGTCTTTTCTAGCCATTAACGAACCCCGTTCCGTTCTTCGGAGTTTTGAGGGTTCAGAGGGCCCCAGTTGGGGGCGGGTCCCTGGACCCTCGCCCTCCCTACCCTCGCCTACCCCCAACCCCCGTCCCAGCCTGGGCCAGAGCCGCCGCGGGTCCCGGCGCGGCCGGCAGGGGGCGCGCGCGGACAGACGCCCGCGCCCGACCCTGGGACTGGCGTTTTTTCCTTGCTAATCTGCGAGGGGAAAAAAAAAATGCTTTTCAGGGCAAAGCGAGGGAAGAAGGTGGCAGCTCCCACTCGGTTCTCCCTCGGGTCGGGTCCGAGCTGCCGGGCCGCATGCCGCTCCCCGACGGGGCGCGTAGCCCAGGGGGCGTCTACCGGGAGGCGCGCGGCGGGGGCTACACCAACCGGACCTTCGAGTTCGACGACGGCCGATGCGCCACCAGGTACGGTCTGCTGCGCCCTCCCTACGCGGGGAGACCCCCGTCTAACCTAAGACCCCCAAGTTCCCCCTCAGGCTCCCGCACCCTGCAGGACCCGCCGTTCCCAGGGCCATCCAACTTCCCCAGGACCCGCGAGTGCCCTCCCAACCCACCTGGGGGAACAGGGGCGTCCCTCAGGGTGGGCCTCGCTTTCTCTAACAAATAGCAGGTGCCCAGGCAGCAGCGTCCGTCCCCATCTGTCCTCCACCTGGTAAGAAGCTGGGGGGAGCGGCCGTGGCTAGATGGGGGTCCTGAGCATCTCCCAGGTGGGGGGAGTGGCAGGGAGGTTGGGGGCGGTGCAGGGCCTTCCACTCCCTCAGCCCCCTCTTCTACCCCAGCGTGGGGAGGAAGGTTCCATCCCTCTGGTGTGGCGTGGCAGTGCTTGGTCAGGGTGGGGTGCCCAACGAGGTTACCCCACACAGTAGGGGGTGTCCAGGGCAACCTTCCGAAGAACAGCCCCCAGTGGGAAGTGGGTTAAGTGGCTGTCAGATGAGGGCGGGGTCCTGGGTTCTGGTCACTCTTCTTTCCCTGCTGGCCCGTCCCTGGGAGGAGAGGGTCAGTTGAGAAGGGCATTCAGGTGACCTGGAGCCAGCTGTTCCCTGTGCAGTGTCCTGGGATGCCACATGGCTCCAGCCTGCCCAGTGACCAGTGCAGAGGCACAGACCAGCAGCCGAGTGGGACAGTCCTGAGCGGAGGTGGCCCCAGGGTCCTGGTTCCCCGTCCTCTCCCGCCTCCCTCAGCCCTTAAAAACAGGCAGGTCTGCCCCTCCCCCTGTGCCCAGAGCCAGACTCCAGGGAACCCGGGGCAGAGCCGGTCACTGTCTTGGGCGAGCCCCTCCCCAGCAGAACAGAGCCGTTTCTTCTGGATTCTGCCCAGTCTCAGGCTGTCCTGAGGCCAGAGAAGGGGCTAGAAGAGCATACCTGAGAGCGGGAGGCCTGGTGCTGCTGCCCGTTTGTTCTGTGGGACTCAGTTTCCCCATGAGTAAATGAGGGGGTGGGGTGGATAGTCTTTAAGGGCTGCCTCTGGTGAGGGACCAGGCTGGAGAGGAGGTTCCCAGCATCAAGAGGCAGGCACAGCACCCGCCTGGTACCTGGGGGAGTCCGGGATACAGCGTGGGTGAGGAGCAGGTGCTCTGAGGGTGGCCAGTGACTTGACGATGTCCTTGGGAAGTGGGCACAGCCTGGATGTGCCCTGAGGGGCCATCCGGGGGATGCCTGTCAGGCACGGAGAAAATGACCCCAAGGGGGTCCTGGATAGTCCTCGTCTTTGTGGGCTGGCCGGCCCCTACCATCTCCCGCCCCGGCCTAGTGTTGCCCTCTCTGGCCATTAGTACCTGCCCTGCTGGGTCTGACTTTCTCTAGAAGATGCGGCGGGACTGTGTCCTCAGGGTCTGGCCTTTAGCTCCAGGCCTCATCCACTGGGTCCTTCCAGACACCTGTGTCTCCCAGCTGGCCCTGCCCACCCGCCCGGGACAGCTCCTCCTCCCCGCTGGACTGAGCTGACCTCCGTGGCAACAGAGATTCCCTATCACACTGCAGGTGGAGCAGCTGCCAGCACTGGGGGGATGTCAGGCGGGCCAGGTGAGAGCCTTCCAGGCTTGGGGAGGGAGCAGGACCCGGGCTTGGCTGGGCTCGGAGGGGAGCTAAGCTCCAGGTGAGGCCAAGGCTTGCGGCCCAGGCAGGTGGCTTCAGCTGCAGAAAAAAGAACCTTCGTGCCGCCTGGTGGTGGGGGAGCTCCACGGGGCAGGTTTCCGCACCAGCTCTCAGGCGGGGAGGGGGGCGCCAGGCAGCAGCGTGGTCAGAACCCGGGCCGTGGAGTCCATTGGCCTTGGTGCCAGGCCTTGAGCAGGCCTCTGTCTTTCCTGGGTGCTGGAGGATGCCAGCCTTGGTGCTGTGGTTCAGAGAGGGCAGGAGGTGCTGGGACACCCCACCCCACACCAGTGCCCCAGCTCAAACCCCCAGCTCCATGCTAGTGGCGTCCCAGAGTCAGCCCCGAGGCCGCCAGGCCGGAAAGTGGGGCTCCAGAGAGGAGCTCCTGGCCCTCCAGGTGGCAGGGATCTTCACCGGCCTTTGGCCCCCTTTCTGGCCTCCAGGCGCCCTGCTCCCACCCCCATGCCATGGAGTCCCGGGCCCTCAGCTGTCTCCCCACAGGCCCTGGGGATGACAGCTGTTATAGGAGAGGGAGGGGCCAGTGGCCCTGTTGGCCCCAGAGCTGGCAAGTGGCCACCCCCTGCCCAGCGCACTTTGCATCAGAGCCCCGGCCAGGCCTTTTCCTGGAAATACCAGTTCCCAGCAGCCCTGCTCCAGGGTGGGCCTGGGACCCTCTAGGCCCTGAGGGGATCGGGCCCTGGCATCCTGCCAGGGTAAATGCCTGGCCCAAGGTCCTGGCCCGCCTTCCAGGCCCATATTAGGGAGCAGTGCCTTCAGCAGCAGGAAGTAGCTCAGGGCCCATGGGAAAGGTTTGAAGGCCCAAGGTACCGCCCAGCACTGGCCGGCAGGAGGGACGGCTCAGGCCACGGGGAACTCAGGGGTCTGCTGTGGCCGTGGAGTGGCCACAGTAGCAGCTCAGGAAGCTACAGAGGTGAGTGAGAAGGGAGCGGGCGGGGTCCCCACAGGGGCCTCTGCTTCTTTTCCTGTGGCTGGCCTGTGTGTGGCCTGTGTCCTTGCACCCGGCAGCCTCCAAGTGTGCTGGTCTGGTTCACCCACCGCATGGGGAGCTCTAGATTAATACAGAAAATTACTTGGGACGAGCCTGGCGTGGCAGCAGCGGTACCTTGCTGTGGGGCCGTCTCATGCCCTCGGAGGGTGTTGGGGGGCGTCTCAGGCTCTCCCCCGAGGCTTTGTGTCCTGCTTCCCAGGGATGCCAGCTTGCAGGCTTTGCCCCCAGTGCCACCGGCCCTGGGAGGGGTGGCACTTCTGTGTCTCCCACAAACAATCCCAGGTTTCCCTGCAACAGGAAAGTTTATCCAAGTGTGTCCCAGCCGTGCATGGGTGAGGGGTACTGAACGGGTATCGTGTACCCAAACACAAGTGCTGTGTGTGCCGATGAACCTGGGTGCGCCGTGAGCCAGGCACGCACACCCTGGGCACGTGTGTGAGAGCTGGAGGAGGATGTGTGGGGCCCGCCAGCCCGCTAGTGTGACCTCGAAGTCACCAGTCATGAGTCTGGGGAAAGGCAGGCTGGACTCGGCATGCCCATGCCAGGTGGCTGGGTGCCAACACCTGATTAAATGGGCATCTTTCAAAGGTGTCTTGGGACCTCTCCCAGCTGTGTGTGTGGGTAAAGCCACCCATGTTCACCCAGACCCGCTTCCACCTGTGGAACTTGGAAGTGAGCCAGCGGGGCTGGAACTGAGGCCAGGCTGCGATTGGGCCAGGGAGGTGAGACCAGTACTAGTAACTGGCAAGTGTAAAAGGTTTGCAGGGGACAGTGGCAGGGCAGAGGCCGCAAGCTTCCTGGGGTAGGTCCCTGGGAAGGCCCTCCTCGAGAGGGGGCCTTCAGGTGCTCCCTAGATCGGGGCGGAAGGTGAGGAGGTGGGAGAGGACGGTAGCCTCACTGGAGCAGAGGTGGGGGCATCAGGAGATGAAGGGCATTGTAGGACCAGGGTCTGGACTGGCACAGGGCGGGCGCCCCGGGAGGAGCAGAGGGCCTGGAGGAGCCTCTGGGAACTGTGTCTGTGAGGTTGGTCCATCCCAGCACTGAGATGCAGTAGCTGTGTCAGCTCTGACTAGTCACTTCACCTCTCTGGGCCTCAGTTTCCTCATCTGTAGAATGGGAGCGCTAGCATGGACCTTATGAGGTTGTGTTGAGCCCGTGTCGACAGCACAGACACAAAGCTGTGTTGGCGTGCTGTTGAGCTAGCATGGACCTTACGAGGTTATGTTGAGCTGTGTTACAAAGCTGTGTTGGCTTCGGGAGCTTGCACACTGGCCAGTTCGTCTGTTCCTTGTTACGCACCAGCTATGTTGACACATCAGAGCTAAGCATTTGTCCAGTTACTTCCCTGAGATGGATTTTTAAAAGTGGAATTGCCCGGTCGAAAGATTCCCATGGTGTTAATGTTTGCCACATGGCCCACGGCCCGCAGGGGTGGGACTGGCTCCCCCTCGCAACAGTGCCGGGGTGCGGCGTGTGCCAGCTGCCACTGTCTCCTCCTTGGCACCGTCCCCCTGGGGCACCTGTCTGTGTCCTTCCAGGCACCACTCAGGCCTCGGAGGCTGAGACACAGCTGGCCCCTTGGTGCCCAGGAAAGGCACACAGGTCTCTCCTTTGTAGCCACTCTGGGGCACTCCACCAGAGGGGCAAAGGGGGCTTCCATCTGCCTGTGACCCCCTCCTGGGGCCGGAAGTGGGTCCTTGTGCTTCACAGGTACCAGTAGTGCTCTTGCCTAGGGCAGACCCAAGCTGTGACGGACAGCCAGGGCTCAGACCACCACACACAGTGGCTTTCCAGTGGATTTCCCTGACTCCAGCCACATTGAGGGAGGCGGCTGGGGCTGGGGCAGGTATTGCGAGTGCCAGTGAGTTGCTCATTTTCTGAGCATGATGGCAGCTCAGGGTATGGGACCCTAGATGGAGCAGGGGCCCTGTGCCTCGGTCTTCCTAAAGCGGCCCAGCCCCCTCAGAGTTCATTGGTGCTGAGGAAATGGAAGCCCCACTTCTGCCTCAGTTTCCAGAGAGGCCCAAGGCCAGGCATGGTGGGTCATGCCTGCGATCTCAGTGTTTTTGGAGGCTAAGGCGGGAGGATCGTTTGAGGCCAGGAGTTTGAGACCAACCTAGGCAACATGGCAAGACCGTTGTCTCTACAAAAAAAAATAATAATAATAATTTTTAAAAATAAAAAAAAAGTTAAGACTAGATAAGGCCCAATGTACTCCTACAGGCCATGCCAGCCCTCAGGTGCTCAGCGTGGCCGGCACAGGGACCTGGCACAGCTCTCTGGGGGAATGAGCAGGGGTATGGTTG